ACGTTCTCGTCGTCTGAGTTTTCGGGCATTGATCTCCTTCCAGGAGGTCCACTTATCGACTTAGAATACGCAGATGACATAGTCCTGTTTGGTGAAGTCGCTGATAGAATTCAGAGTCTTTTGGTAGCACTGAGCAACAATGCCAGGATGCTTAGGATGTGTTTCCCCCCTCGAAATGCAAGGCGTTGCCCCAGGACTGGCCTGCATCGATGACTTCACTTATGTTGAAAGTCTGATCAACCCTAATAGGTTAATGTCTGACAGAATCTGTGCACGGATTCAGAAAGCTCGCTTGACTTTTGCGAACTTACCTATGGAGAAGGCGAGATATCTGTCTATCAATTAAGTGACAAGTATACTGCGCGGCAGTTTGTTCTGTTCTACTTTACGGCTGCGAAACGTGGTCACTAAGAGTAGAAGATACTCGTAAGTTACTGGTATTTGACCACAGATGCCTTAGAAATATTGCTCGCATCTGCTGGGATCACCGGGTAAGTAATAGTGAGGTTGGACTCAGAATTTTAGGGAGTGATAGTAAATCAGTTGATGAGGTTGTGAATCTTCATCGACTGAGATGGTTGGGCCACGTGTTACGTATGTTTGAACATCGATTACCACGACGGGCAATGCTGACTAGTGTTGGAGACGGTTGGAAGATTGTTATGGGTGTCAAAACAAACTTGGTATCAATCCTTGAAGCCACTAACTTCTGGTCTGAGCCATGATGGTAGGTTCGGACTGCTTGGTTTGGGTCCGCGTGTCCATCGTAACCAATGGTTGTAGACTTTGTGTGACGTGGTTCAGAATTGATCACAATGACGTAAGTGTATACATTCTATATCTTTTCTCAAACCGTGAGATTAAAATTGCTTTATACGAACTAATTCTTCCCCCTCTCCCTGTATTATATCCTTATATTCAATTTTTCCTTTATATAATACTACTATTGAAGTAACTAGTTCTATGAATTTGGTGTCCATCTTGTTGTGCTAATGAGGGATGGCAACTTGAACCGATGCATATAAGTACCTGGCCCTTCGTTGTAGCTGAATGATTGACTAACCTCGGGTTAATACATATGGTAACTTTTTCGTGGAGAGATGAAGAAGGAATTCGCAGTGCTTCGATGTAATCATAAATGCTAGTCTATGGTATACAAAAATTTTATTTATTATTTATTTGAACGCATAAATATTGGTATAAAGGGGCACCGAATACATATGCTCCACACAAGTCACTTGATTTGTGTGTGGGATGTGATACTGTCCGGGTGCACAAACCGAAGCAGATGGTTTTCTTAGGGGGCCAAACCTCGAGTCTTTGACCTAAAGGTCTGATCTACAAGACAGTGAGTGAAGCATCGTGAGGAGATCCAGTCCCATGGTAGCCGGTGACCGACAATTGATTCATACGCCATTTGTTTCTTCAGGATCGTGGAGCCCATGTACACGATTGGTTTGGGACCATGGTTTCCCAACTCCCATAGGTGGATCCGTGTCCACCAACCCGGTTTAAGCAGTGATTAGAGTCATTAAATGTTCAATATCAAACTCCTAACCGGTTTCCTCTCATCCTTGTACGACGATGCTGGAATATGTTTTCCTGTGTTGAAACTAAGCACTGGCTGCAACCTATTTACCTCGCTTCAGAAGAACAGATGAATTGTTAGTTGCAAATAGAGGTGACTAGATGAAAAAGCCTACTTATTACGAATACAGAGAATAAATGCCTATTTGTGAATTTTAATCGACGTTCTACTACATAAAACGTTCTTGTAATTGCTTTGAACTACCGATTCTTACACATCTCAGATTTATTTATTTATTTATTTATTTGAACACATAAATATTGGTACAAGAGGGCACCAAATATATATGCGCCACACAAAACAATGAGAATTTGAAGAGAACAAACACACAATCCCGAACCTCTGCATCGTTAACATGGTGTTGCCACTGGATGTCAGCAATCCTTCAGACAGCGATGATCGAACACAGAGAGTCGTCTAACATCCTCAACTCGGAGAGGCCAGGTTTCACAAGCATAGAGCAAAACTGCTCTCACCGATGCGTTGTAGATCCGACCTTTTACAGCCAGACTTACATCACGAAGGCGCCAAAGATGGCCCAGATTGGCATAAGCCACTCTGGCTTTCACTATATTTGCATTGATCTCATCACTCACGCCACCACCAGCACTTATGCAGCTACCTAGATACACGAACTTCTCGACTACTTCTATCTGCTCACCATGCAAGGTGAGTACAGAATTAGAATCCTGCCAGCCTCGCAGAAATACTTTGGACTTCGAAGGTGCAAAGCACATACCATACCTACGGACACTGATTGCCAACTGATTAAGTGTGAATTGCATGGCTTGGACAATGTCGCACAGTAAGACAATATCGTCCGCATACTCAAGGTCGAGAAGTCTTTCTCCAGGCAACAGATCCACACCACCATTACTTACATTCATCAGAGCTGTTTCCAGAATGTCATTGATGGCAAAGTTGAAGAGGAATGGTGAGATTGGGCAACCCTGCCTAACCCCACTGCTCGAATGGAACAATGGAGAGAGGTGGTTGTATCCCTTCACTGTGCCTGAGGTGTTTTTATATAGGGCCTTTAGGATGTTTCATATAAAGCTATTTCTTTGAAATCGACTTTTTTGGATCCCTTGTTCCGTCTTCCTTTCATTTTCTCCATGAAGCATCTTGGATAGCCGTTTTCAACTTAGATTTTTCTGAAGATTTTAATTTCTAACTCGACGCATTTGACATTACAGACCCTACATATTGAATATCATAAAAAACGGATAAGTTTCCTATTTCTCTGTCAACTAGCTCGATAAGAAATTCGTTGACAAAAGAAATCTCTTCACTGAATTTCATATTTTTTTAATATTTAAGTAAGAATTATAAATAAATAGAAATTGTGTCTAATGTTTTTAATTTTTATAAATTTAGCCTATTCCATATTGGTTGTACAAATTGCATGGATTAAATATGTATTATAGTTGCGAAATATGCGGTAATCAAACATACCGTGGTCCTAAAGCATTTCAACAACATTTTTCTGAATGGCGACATGCTCATGGTATGCGATGTTTAGGCATACCGAATACAATTCATTTTGCTCACGTAACAAAAATTGAAGAAGCTTTAGCTTTATGGCAACGAATAAGAACAATGAAAGAAGCTGAACGTTGGCGTCCAGAAGTTGAAGAAGAATTAGAAGATTCTGTCGGCAATGTTGTATCTCGTAAAACATATGAAGATTTAAAACGTCAAGGTCTTCTTTGAAAAAATATCTTGAAAAAAATTTTTTCTTATTCTTGTAATATTGTACACTTGTGAAATATAAGTTTATTTTAATGTATTTGTTCTATTGTTCAAAATAAGATGGATTTTTTTCTGCAAAAAAAGATTGAGTTTGTATGTTTAGATTGTGATTGTGTTTTTAAGCAGTCAGGAGAAAAATCAATTAGAGATGGTTTGGATTATCTTTGTTTTTAATATTTATTACTGAAATTTGATCAGTCTCGGGTTTGAGTCCTGGAGTGAATGTCAACTCTTGGATGCAGGTACACCCAGTCGACTAATCTCAAATAGGACAAAACAGGTGTCCTGGATTCCAATTCTAACCACACTCCATCTATTCCGTATCAGCCACGAAAAATGTTTGTTGTAATATTTCTTCACAATTTCTGTATGTAATTTATACTATTGTTTTCTGTCTCTAAAAATGAGTATCTTGCAATTTGTTCATGTAAGTACGAAACTTTTTGTTTCCAACCAAATGATTATCTCTGTAAATAGGAATGCTATTTTATATTTCCACTATTTGAGATATTATGACTTCAGTAATCCGCTAACTTAGTTTACAGTTATTAAATACTTTTAATAACTAATTGAATTTGAACCAGTAATCTGATACTGTTGTACATGAGATATTATACAGGAATCTACACTTCTATTTGTTATAATACTACTCTAATGAAATATTGAGTAGTAGCTTAACTCTCGAAGTACTGGGCTTTCAGCTAATAGATTGGTCTTAGGTTCAAACCTCGTCCTACCCAATTGGATTTATATGGATGAATATTATTGCTAACCCACAAAAATAGTGTCACTATGTTCTAAAGTACGTTTTTATAATTTTATAAATGAATTTTCGATCGTTAAAATTTATGCAAAGAGTGCTAATCGATAGGTGATATGCAATTTGAGTCGAGTAATACCTGCTCACGAAACCGTAATGTTAATTCAAATCCCTAAATAATTTGAAATTGAAGACAAGACCATTAGGCAGTAGAAAAGGTTGTTTGCTTAATAAAACGCCCATGCCTATATACAAAACATTAACGCAAAATAAGTATAAATTTTCATAGGCGATTCGAAGGATTTGATTTTGTAGTTCACTTATCCTTCAATCAATTAAGATTTTGTCCGTCATATCACCTGCCCCATAAAATGATTCTGGATCCTTCATCTATTGGTTAACATTCTTTCTGTTCGTTTTAACAATCAGAAATTTGTTCAGAAAATCATTCGAATCCTGTTCCATGACAAACTCAAAACCTGAGTTCATGAAATCTGTACTTTGTAAATTTGTTTCATTACTTTGATTGTATTCCTTTTTTTTTCTAGTTAGGTTTATAAATGTGATCAATTTAAATATTTTACTTGCATTTAAGTAATATGATGTTTCCAAGGAAAGTCGTACAAAAATGTTTGATTTACGTAGATGGTTCATTGTGTCAGGAATAAAGCTTTCTCCTCTGTCAACCTTTTATTTTTCCCAATGAACAGAATATATAAAAGTTGTTTTGCAATGCTCAGAATTCTTACTGACTGTTTAAGGGGATAAATTCATCTGCTCTCTGTTTTTGTCATCATTTCAATGAGTATTGTTATTGTAACTGGTTTTTGTTATAAGTGTAAAATAATCATATATCTATTATCATTTTAGATAGTAAAGTAATATAAATTGTTATAAATAATGGAAGTTGATATATCAAATAACCCCTTACATGAAACAAATATGGACACTACTTCTGAATGGGAAAGCGCTATTCCAAAAGATGATGAAAAACATAAAAATCAAATTGTGAGTACTGAAGAGTTAGTTACTACCACCTGTAGTGATGACAGTGCTCCTCTCGAAAGGGAAACTTGCACAGATTCTGAAGTAAGTAGTTTTCCTAAGTTTTCGTTTTTAGTAAAATTTAAACTCCAAAGGTAATCCATGTCGGATCAACCCAGACTTCTCATAACTATAGTTTTGTATCCCTGGTTTATACACTCAGTTAATATAAAAATCCAATTATTTTGAATCTAGGCTAATCTGATTAAAAAGGATTTCGCAAAATATGGAGTACTCAGAGAAGAATCGTAAATTGTTGATTGGTTGGTTTTAAAAGTAAAATGTTGAAAACACTCATCTTCCCATTATATTGTTTTAGCATTGAAAAATAACTTTAACTGGAAGCGTTCGGTTTTCAACCAATAATTTACAGGTTCAAACGCCGTTTCACCTACTTTCGTTCGAACAACCTTCACAATCTCAGCATAACATATGGCTTTAGGTTGAGTACGTGAACGTGTACTTGACAAATAGGTTACATTAGGCTCTCTAATTATAGTATTGTATTACTTTATATTATTTGGTCGACGACGAATTTTCGGCTAATTTCTGGCCAATCAGAAAGTAGCATCATAGGTGGATAGTTTCTGGATAAGCAAGCAATAATATTGCGAAGTATAAATAGATGTTACGCAATTAATAAGTTTATTAATGTTTTCTACAGGTTACTCTACATGTAAATAGTAAAGCAACTGCATATAAACTCTTCCTAATTGATGTAGACTATCTATCTTCTCGAATTCTTAAAAACGACCCAAGCAGATTTTTCACTCTCTATATCGTTCCTAATTAGGGTTTTCATTGCGAACTAACATCGGTCGTTATTTAAAATGCTCTGTAGCTACTTAGGTGAATGAGTTTGGTTCAAAAATGCAAGAAGCGCTTTCTGATTACATCACCTGTAACGTATAATACCACCAAATTTAGGTTTGTTTCGGAATCAAGGGTTTAGGAATAATGTCGATCCGCTAGTTATATACAATCTAAAAAGATGGAACTAGAGGTTTGATACATTTAACGGTGTCATTCTCCCCCATAATTTTAAACATTTCGAGCAGTATATGAAGGTACTTAACTGCTCGTTAGGCACATTGAAACTTCACGAAAACCTTAATGTCACGTTCTCGATCCTGATTAACTGGTCGCTAAAGTACACTTATACCTTTTTCTTTACATGAGTTTGAGGGTTGTCTTTCTTTTTTGATGGCTTTTTAACGGTCACCGATACTACTTACTACTTTGACATTCATTTTGATGGTTTCGTTTCACCGTGTTGATGATTTGTGGCGACCTAAACCGCTCTATATATATGGAAGATTCTACGTTGTTTATGACTAACTGGCTGGTTTGTCAGTTTGAATCTGCTAAAGCTGGTTTCGCCCTACTGTGTTGTTCCAGACATTAGAGGTTAGTGAATCCCAAGTGGCTTTTCTGGATTAGAATCCGTTTTTAAGGCTCACAAGCCCACCATGTGGATGTGATAGCGTGGGGAAATCTTTAGAACTCCCTTAATCTTGGCGCTCAGGCGTCTCATTAGGAGTCACTACCCGTTACACACATACCGGTAACACATAGATTTTCACCCATACATCCCATAGCATACATATAGGCATATTCACCCCCTTGGGAAGGTAGATGGTCACCACTTCTTTCTTTTGTATTTGCTAATACTTACTGTCTTATGCACTACATACCACTGGAACACATTCGTTCATGCACCTCATGGCATACATATAAGCACTGTTAAGAAGGGTTTGTGGTCACCTCTCCCTAATATTTGCTACCCATTAAATTTTTTTTTGCTTTGTCTTCGATCTGTTGGATTTGGTCTCTAATTTTATTAGACAAAACAGACATTTCAGCTAACGTTACTTTTGTTGACCTGGCTCATACCATTTGCATATACCTGCAGACACAATTACGCAAGTTGGAACTCGTTCAATTCATATACATAAGCGTACACATCAAGAAGCTCTTCACTAGTTGAAAGCCTCGAGGTTGAAATCTCAAGCGATTCAGGTTCAGAAGAGTGGTAAATTAGTCTTATCTCCATCGACCGTCCAAGTTAGCTAGCAAGGCTGTCCTCACTACCCAGTAGCGCCACAAGGAAGCCTTGGGTCTGATCTTACTGCTTTCATCATTCTAAGATTTCTCTCATCCAATCAATGTCAAATATAAAATTAGTCGACCCCTCAGCGGTAATAGTAATCACACATTTCCAGTCGTTTTATTTATATAATAGGTTCATAAAACTTATCGAAAGACTTACATTCGAAGTAATTGATTATTCACAAGTTGCACAATGTATAATGTGTACTGTGAACATGATAGATTCTTGAATGTATGTATTATATTCATTTATTTGTAGTTGACATTGTGGTTCACTACTAAGGCACACTATATATGACTTTATTAATAGTTTACTAAGTAAACTGGTTAAGGTGTCCTAAAATAAGTAACGATTTTCACGTTTGACTTTATTATATGTGATATGGTGGTAAAAATTGTTCTCTTGCAATTTCTTCTACACAACTTCTCAGTAAATTTATTACAAAACATTTTGTAGGCCATGATGAATTTCCTATAAAACTATTTATATCTATGAGAAAGATTTAGAAAGGAGCCTTTAACGTGAATTCGGTCATACTCAAATTAATGAGATTGTATTGTGATATTTTTACAAAATTAAATTTAGAAACTGATAATTCGTCATGAAAAACAAATAAACTTTCTAAAAATACGACTAGTATACGGTTGTAGAGATTGTTAAGTTGAGATTGATATGATGAATGGATCAATGTTAGAACGTGGAAGCACTGGATGACCGTTTCGCCCGAAGGTCCTAGGTTCGATTCCCGCGTGCGGGATCGTGGGTGCGCACTTCTGAGTTCAATAATAGGACAAAACTGCCGTCCAGTGCTCCTAGATTTTCAATAGTGGTCTAACATTGATCTATTCATCATATAAATCTAAACTCAAAAAATATGACTTCGAAATCATGCGATCATTTTATAATCAGTCACTCTATCTGGTTCTATTTATATCATATACGTTTACCAAAACAATTATTTAATATGATATTGTTTTTCTGCTCTCATATTTCTTTAATTTTAGTCCATTTCAATAGATGTAAAGAAACTAGACGAGAACACTTCAACTACACCGAATATATATTGTCCTCCAAGTTGGGCTTTAAATTGTCCTCCATCTTTAGATTATAAATTAGAAGTTATTAAAAATGGTTTACAACTTTCAGAGAGTACAGTTTATTTATCATCTCCTTCAGATACAAATTTGCAATCTTCATGTGATGATGGTTTAAGTTATTGTTTATTTGGTCGTCAACCTCAATCATATTATACACAATCGAATAATATGAATGGACAATGTTCAGTACTTGCTCATCCTTCAATAAGTCGACTGCATGCTGTATTACAGTATGGTAAACCACCGCATGCTGTGGGTCATGTATCAGAAAATGAAAAAGACACCACTGGATGGTATTTGAAAGATTTAGAAAGTACTCATGGTACTTTTGTTAATAAGGTTAGTTGTGAAATACAAATATTCTAGATCGTAATCTTGATTGACTTCACTCGAATCGCTGAATTTGTCGATTATTATTATTATTCATTATTACGGTACTTTTGATGTTGGAGTGGTGTTTAATACATGATGGATATGATCGCTCTGTTGTAATAAGAAAGAAAAATATGCTCTCAAAATGAAATCCGCCCCAAATTGTTGGAAATTATGATAAGTCAAAATTTTCAGAGATATATCTTCACATGGGCGCCAGTCTTGGTCTTTCTTCGGAACCATGTGCAACGGCGAGGCCCAAGGACTGTTTGATTGTCTAATTATCCCAAGTCGCATCATATGTTTGAATTCTCTCTTTCCGAACTGCAACTTGTTTGGGGGAAGTCTCCTCGCCCTGGCGCAGATGGGTGGACCTGTAGTAGTGATACTGTGTTGAACGTGATGTGTGGAGCGTTCGTTTTGATAATCGACTCTCGTTATACACTCGTATTTCGACAGGATATCTGTGAAAATTTTATTCTCAGGTCTTACCATTCGGACTCCATGAATTTCGTAGTCAGAGGTGGTTGTGCCGATGACCTGTAGACTTGTATTCTTGTCAATTAGTTTCTTTTTGCCCATATCTACGAGTAGGTTATAAGCAGCGAGAAAGTCGGCTCCGAGAATGGGTTGTTTGACTTCAGCTACAATAAAAACCCATGTGAAACGTCTACGGAGACCGAGATCTAAGATGAGTGACTGTTCTCCGTAAGTTCTGATGACTGTGTTGTTGGCCGCGACTAAAGATAATTTACTACTCTGAGAGTGCCGTCGTTGGGATAGGTGTAGTGGGATAATGCTGATTTCGGCTCCTGTATCGACTAAAAAATCTGAGCCCGAAATTCGATCCCTGACGTGAAATAGACGGCTTTGATAGTGGCCAGAAACAGGCGCCGCCATTACTGTCTGGCCGCATCGTTTCCCTGGTAGTTTGTTTTGTTTGTTTCAAAGTTGCACGGTTCTGTGCAACGGCGTACCTTCTCACCGAAAGTCGTGTGGTACCAACAAGTATCCTCTGCACGCTTGGGTGATCTAGGGCGATGTCGGGATATTGATCGCCTTCTGGAGGTCGATCTGGCAGGACGAGTATGGATAGTGGCTATAGTCGCCTGCAACGCTGCTAACTGCTGAGTTAAATCTGCTGTTTTTTGGTGTATGTCAAGAGGGACATTCGTAACATCTCGACTTGAGGTTTGTATGGGAGAGTTCATAGTGGGAAAAACAAAAATGATGTGCCAAGTAATAATAATAATAATAATTATTATATATATATATATATATATATATATATATATATATATATATATATAAACAGTAAACGTCTATAATGAATTCGAGGCTCACCAAATAATTGTGGTGGACCAGACGAATATGAACGTGAAAAAATGTTAACCAAGTTATAAAGAGTAAATAATACTGTTAACAGTTATTAATACAACATAAAATTAGGGACTTTACTTAAATTCACCAAGTTGCTGCGTGTTCAGATTGGGTCTGGTACTGAAAATCCACAATTATAAATGTTCGGTAATTCCGCTCAGGTTGTTGGACTCTCCAGTAATGTAAACTAATGTTAGGTATGATATATTCCGACCCACAGTCTATAAATGCAGATAGTTTGATTTAGAATGCAATTAGCTCAATCACAGACGAAGGTAGAACAAGGTATGTGTGTATAGCATTGTATTTGAGAGCAAACGACAGTATGTCACGCTATGTCAGTAACACAACGGAAAGTGTGTTCAAGGTCATTCACTAAAACAACAGGTACAGTCATTTAATGATAAATATACATACAGTGAAAGATTGACAAAATAAATACAAATAATATTAAAAACTATTTACAAAATTAGCTACGGGATTTGAATCGAGAGTTGTATCTGTGTGCTAATGTGGTGTGGCAACTCAAACTGATGTACGTACATACGAGGTTCTACGTTATTGCTGATTGATCGACTAACTATACACACCCCAACGTGCTACTCGGGTGAAAAGACAGCTATTAAGAAAAACTTACTGGTTAAACTGAACCGCTACACATTGCATATATATATTCCCTAGAACATCAAACCACTAGTGGTGTACGTCTCATTTTTTAGGATTGAAAGCTACTTCTTCGCCAATCGTATGCACTTATCATTTGACCGATCTCTGATTGACTCTGTATCAGTATCACATATATTTTAGTAAAGTAGATGATTAACCACCGTTGCAGTCATCTACAAATTATATTTGCCCGTACTCCTCTTCAAGGTTTGCTATTCATTCAATCCCAGTATTAACTTTTGGTTCAAATCCGTAAATTCATGTAGATATAATTCTCTTTTTCTTTATTCTAATCATTTTTTTATCATAAAGCGACGTCTACCCCCAGGAAGATATGTTCGTATTCGTGTTGGTTATGTTTTACGATTTGGTGGTAGTACACGTTTGCATATTCTTCAAGGACCTGAAGAAGACACTGAACAACAAACTTCACATTCTTGGTTCGATTTGAAGAAATCTCATGAAGAGTATAAGATGAATCTTAAAATGGAACGCAATATTTCATCAATACAGAATTCAAATACTGTCAAGCTTGAATGTAACTGGGGGATGTCGTGTAAGTTAAGCTGACTTTTTAAAAATATCTTTCAGGAAGTTATGATATTTCAAGAGATGCCAATATATAAATAAGAATACTTTGTGACAAAAGAAGTAATGTGCAAAATAGATACCGCTTTAGTGACATGGATGAAATGTTATGGTATTTTAAGGCGGTAGCATTTATTGAATGAACTATTCTCAATTTTACTTTGTGTGATCTGAACTATATCACCAATGAATACATGAAGTCGTTCTCAGGCAGCTATAACTGAATACAAATTATGGTTACATAGATCGTTGTATAAGGACAGAGTGAAATAGTTCTCATGGCAGCATTTTACACTGTATCTCCTATGGTGAGACCTACATTAGAATAGGGTATAGCATAAACTAAATTGACATGAATTACTGTGGGTTTTTCTGTAAGTAAATAGTTCTCGTTTGTTGGCAGCACTCTGTCTTAACAGTCATACAACTTCCCAAATGCATCAAGTTCTTAGTAATAAAATAAATAAGGTGGATGGGCACTGCTGAGGAGTCCCACAACAGGACGAAACGGCCGTCTAGTGCTTCCAGGTTTCTAAAGGTGGTCTAACATCAATCGGTTCATGATCTCAATCAAAAACTTAATAATCTCCACAACTCCTATACTAGTAAATGTATGATAAACTGACGGCCTGATGTTAATCAATCAAAATTAAGTGCAGTGATTTATAACTTGAGTGTTATTATTAACGAAATGAATAACCTACTTACTTACGCCTGTTACTCCTTGTGGAGAAGCTTACCAGCACTCTCCATCCAACCCTGTCCTGGGAAATCCTTTCCACCTCTTTCCAGTGGTTATTCATCATTTTCATATCTGCTTCTATTTCCCGGCGTAGTGTTCTCTGGCCTTCGTCCTTTACGCTTCTCTTCGGGATTCCAAGTTAGCACTTGCCTCGTGATGCAGTTTGATGATTTGCGTAATATATGTCCTATCCATTTCCACCGTCCTTTCCTAATTTCCTCTTCAGCTGGAAGCTGGTTTGTTCTCTCCCACAATGAGCTGTTGCTGATGGTATCCGGCCAATGGATGTTGAGTATCTTGCGTAGACAACCATTTATAAATACTTGTACCTTCTTGATGGTGGTTGTTTTAGTTCTCCAAGTTTCAGCTCCAAATAGTAGAACTGCCTTGACGTTTGTATTGAAGATTCTCACTTTCCTATTGGTTGAGAGTTGTTTTGAGTTGCATATGTTCTTCACTTGTCGGAAAGAAGCTCTTGCTTTGCCAATCCTCGCCTTTACGTCTGCATCTGATTCTCCTTGTTCATCGATGATGCTGACTAGGTATGTGAAGGATTCCACATCTTCCAGAGTTTCGCCATTAAGTGTGATTGGGTTGGTGTTCTCTGTGTTGCATTTGAGGATCTTGGTTTTTCCTTTGTGCATGTTGAGGCCTACTGATGCAGAGGTTGCTGCTGCACTGGCTGTTTTCATGTGCATTTTTTCGTGTTATAACTGTGGTCTGAGTGCCCTGCCAATGGATAAGTAGTGATAACGCCAATGAGAGAGCAGTGACTTATCGACCGGATCAATGACGCGTAAACCCGTATGAGCAGTCTGGAGTCCTTATTGATCCCGCCTCCTGTCTAACCCAGCCAGTTAAGTCCAAAACACGAATCCGAACCTCTGCGATACGAATCGTATTTTAAACATACTGAGTTTCTATACCAATCAAACAGACTACAACGTACCAATAAAATATGAAACAACATTTGTACAAGAATTAGCCCGATGTGGCTGTGAGTGAGGAAGGCAGTAATTAATATACTGGGTATAACTCAAGAATGGTAAAACGTATAATAATAGTTTATGGGTCAAAATAAAGCTTATAATAAGAGTAATATGTATATGCATAGTTTAGTTACTTAATAATTATAGAATAGAAATATACGTCCATGAATGGATCCCAAAAGTCACCATTCATTATTCTTGTCGGGACATAACAGTTCGTGTGTATGGGATAGGAGGGCTAAGTCATCTGCGAAGTCGAAATCGTCTAATTGGTTCTGAGCTGTCCACTGTATTCCGCATTTTCCCTCAGATGTCGAGGTCATCATAATCTAGTCATCCACCAGAAAGAGGAAGTGGGAGAGTAGACAGCCTTGTCTGACTCCGGTCGTTACTTGGAGTGCATCTGTCAACTGTCCTCCGTGCACGACTTTGCACTGTACTCCGTCGTATGAGTTCCGGATAATATTGAAAATCTCAGGAACTCCATAGTGTCGAAGGAGTTTCTATAATATTCTCCTATCTACACTGTCAAACGCCTTCTCGAAGTAAAGGAAGTTGATGTATAGTGATGAGTTCCACTCGACTGATTGTTCGACGATGATCCGTAGTGTGGCGATTTGGTCCACCAGGGTGCTTGGTACCTGTGTGGTTGCGCCACATGATTGGACTGTACTATTCTCATATTGTGGCGTTAAACCTTGTATGGTGTCTGGTTCTCCTGAAAACCGATGTAAAATTACCCTGACTCATAAGGGTATATTATATTGCACGAAATGAATATTGTCAATTTTTGGTTCCCAGGATGCTCAAAATATCTATTGTACAACCAAAAAGTGAAATTTAGTATTTATTTAAGCTAAATTACAAAACATTCCTGCTCCCAAGGTAGATTGTGTATTAATGTACTTAATGTCGTTCATTGGGTAATCAAGAGCGTTTAGTGAAGCTAGATAAAATCCTCCCTTTCTTACTCTTACTCTAAATGTCGACCCTACGTTTCTCAAGTTTGTAAACAAAAGAGTGGCAAAGCATTGCATTATAACTGATTTCAGTTCATTTTGAAATCCCTAACCCTGTGTTTTGCATCATAAGGGAAGTCAGTTTGTTACGAAAACTCACAATATTAGCTAAACTCCTGATATGTGTGTATATGTGTAAAACTGACCCTTTTTCTTAACTACAAGGGATAATTTGACATTTTAGGGTTAATTATTCAGACTAAAGCTGATATCACACTGTTTTACATCGTTAATCGTTTTATGGCTAGGCAGTTTTTCCTGATTAGTTTATAAGTGTCATATAGTCGTCAGTATATTGTACTTTTACCGCAAGTAAATTGACCTTAAACTTTTAAAGTCAAAGATTTAGGAATAATGTTATTCTTTAAGTGTAAAGGAACTCAAACAACTACAGTTTCATAGACTTGAATATGACCCATATTTTTCGTGTGATTCCTGGTGTTACTATTTGGTTGCTCAAGTTGGTGTGGGATGGTTTGAAATTTTGACCGGATAGTTGGAAGTAAGTCGGCTTAACCATTGTCCAAACTCTTTATAATATATTGAATATATACTCATTGCTTGACATTCGAATTATCTTGATATATTTTTACACGCTCACGATATTCGCTCGTATAAGAGTGGGCAGATAAAAATCTATGAGTAACCAAATTAAGGCGTGGGATCAATCTGTCAAGCAATCGACCGTTGGAATAAGCTGAGTATTTGGATACAGACTATATGTTTGCGGTCCTCATGATAACTGCGACCAATGGTTGAATACGTTAGGTGACCATGGCTTAAATTAACCCACGCTGTCGCCAGTGCATTCACTTTCTGCCTCTCTTTCGATCTTGAGTTTTAAAGTTATCTTGTACTTTTTTATTTTAAGAATTTATTCTTTCTTCTCGAATCACTTTGTTTATCTGTACTGTTTTTTACTGTGACTAATACGGTTAGTACTTCTGTTACTTTGGTGTTTATATTAATAATTTCATCTTGCTGGGTTGATTTAGTGTAAGGGGTACTCAGGCTGATAGACATATGTTCTAGGTTCTACTTTGCCTATGACTGGTAAATTATTATTGTTTCGAAGAGTGACCATAATTTATGTTGGGGATGTAAATTTGGATTTTGGTAGCTGAAATCCCCTACTTAAGGCCTACTTACTTTCAAGAATGTTATAAATGTTTTTGTAAGCGATTACTGCTTGCTTAAATCAATTGTCTTCCATAATCTCTTCCAATAAGTCTTCAGATCCTTGGCTAGTGAAGCAATAAGGCTCTGTCGTAACAAATTTGTTTGAATAAAAGATATATATATATATATATATATATATATATATATATATATATCACAGCATTTAATTCATACAAATGTGATCACCTGGAATACTTTAAAAAATTCATTTCCCTGCAAATTAATGCTAATCTTACCAATATTTATGCTAATAAAAAAGCATAATTTTTATTAAATTTTTCAATAAATCTAATACTTAGTAGAAGATCCTGTCTCTGAACCAATTCCAACTTTATTACAATCTGGAACTTGTTTAAATCATGAAAAATTATATCGTGATGATCCTAAGCGGGCATTGAATGCATATTTTGAACGAGAAGGGATTGATCCTGTTCCACAGTATGAATTTGTTGAAGCACCATTTGGCAAACAACATTGTCGAATCGAGTAAGTTGTTTGTTGTTTAGTTATTGAATTATGGTACCCTTTAAAATTCTCGGAGAGAACATAAGTCAAATCTTTTGGACTATGTTTTCTATATAATTCTGATCGAATAGACGGATTATGATTAACAGTAGAATATGGGACAAAAGTTTTATTTCATTCGTGGAATGTATCAATTTCTAGTGAATATTCCTCAATCAGAATACTGGTTATTATTTTACTACTCCGTGTATGCTATTTTGGCTAATGCTTAGTCTTCTAAGCGTAGACATAATGTACCTCAACTGGTAAAGTCAACTTTGAGTTGAGGCAAAACAATCTTAACTCCAACTTATCCATTGATTCGCACATACATCTCTAGTATGCTAGTCACACACTCACTGTAACCCGTGAAGGTCGTGGGTCCGATCCCTGAAGACTAGGCATACTGTTGACGAGCCCTATAATAGGCCAAAACATTTTTCCAGTACTTCCTGGTTTGTAATAGTTATTTTACTAAGATCAATCAGTAATGTTAAGCATCAAATTTGTTTTAATTATTTAATAGATCTTTGAATAAATTTTACGTTTTCTTTTGTTGTTATTGTTACTAACAAAGGTTGCCATTGAGTTCAGGTACCGTGACCGCAGAAGCTCTTGTTTCCGGTAAACGAAAAGAAGCTGTTGTTGCTTGTGCTTTGGAAGCATGTCAACTTTTAGATCGTTTGGGTGAATTTGACCCAGATAAAGGTATGTAATGAAATATAGATATATTTTAAATAATTGTAAATATTGTTTATTAAGTACCAATTGATTTGGGAAATTCATACAATTAAATATGACCAAAACGGCAATGTTTGAAACATACGATGAATTTATCTTATTTCATTACTTTCTCTCCAACTAAGTGGATACAAGCCAATTTGTTTAATTAGTTTCAATTATTAACGTAATTGAAATCATAAACCGATCTTATATAGACAACCATTGGAAATCTGGAAACATTGCAAGTGGATTTCATCTTAGTACGGGACTCAGCAGTGCTTCTCCAAGACCCTACACGCGGAAATCGAACTCAGGACCTTCGGTCTTGCTCGTGAACGCCTAAACTCTAGACCATCGAGCCGGCATCCAACGGTGTTAATATCTAACTACGACCAGTTCACGACATTGTGCGACCATCTTTCATTGTGTTCAGTAGGTAATTAACTTACATCCGAAACGAAGTAACTCCACTAGTTGCCTTACTAGGAAAAATCAGCCGTCCAGTGCTTCTAGTTTTTCGATGGTCGACTAACTTAGATCGGTTCGTGAATTCAATGAAAGTTTACAACCGTCTACTGACTATTAACAGGTTATTGATAGGTGAATGGTCAATCAATAACAAACCAGTTTTATGTAATGTGATAGAATTTGAGAATGAAATTTTTGGAAGATGGTTCTTTTCATAATTGGTTGAGGTAATAATAATTTTATTGAGTACTATAACAAATGATATTTGGCAGTTAACAACAGAATAGAGAAAAAGTAAGTTTAATTTATTAGAATGTGATTACAACTAATCGAACGGAAGATAAGTCGAAATATCATCTCAACAGTTGAAGGTTAAATGCTGACTCCTTTTAAATACAAAGATCAGGTTCACGCCTTCTGATCGGTATGGTTTCTATAACATTCCTTAAAGTGGAATTTGACTGTTCATTAATAAATTTGAACAAACTTTTTAGATCATTGTTGGTTATGAATTATGTAGGGAGTTGTCTCCTCAAAAATCTAGGTATTTTGAGTGAATAAAAGATCACCTTCCTCCACCTTCAACGTATACGCTTGTACATGTACATCTACAAGTTTGAAACTACTCTATTCATACTACGTAATATCTTCTAGTCCAAAAAATTAGTCGCTGATTATTTGAATACATTCTATTTCTATGAATTCTATGCATATTCAACTATTCAAGTTTAGTATTGATAGTACTAAGTGAAAATAATCTTGTGATCGTTTACATGTGTTGTTCTAATTCATATTTACTGTTAATCATTCATTTAATTGTAAAATTCGATACCATCCTATTTTCTTTCACTTATCTGATTACTCCATGTTGCCTTCATGGGAATATATCTATTTCAAAAAAATATTCTTACAGAAATTTGGACCTTATATTCCCCAGAATTCTTTTTTAATGTTTTCTAAGAAATATTTATCAAACTATTATTTTTAATTAACCTAACACTTTGAAATAATCTCTTCTAGTTCTTTAGTTTTTTTATTTGTTTCTTTTAAAATTTCTAGATCGTTCCACCGCTTCTAAATACGCTCGATCACGAGCTTATTGGGAAGATCGTGACTATTATTCATCTGATGAAGATACATATGTTGATCGAACTGGAGCTGTGGAGAGAAAACGTTTAAATCGTATGCGTCAATTAGGTGTGAATGATAATGATGGAATTAAAACAACAGACGAACTATTGAACAATGATAATGCTAAACTTCATCTTAAAAATGAAAAACGAATATCTCAAAATGCAAACATGATTACTATGGTATGTTTTGTAATGTGTTTTACTCACTGTCCGTGTATGTGTATGTACATGAGCTACCAATGATAATTCAGTAAATATTTTCTGTTTAACGTAGTCTACAAAGAAAATACTCTTGAAAATAAATTTATTTTAATTCATTCATTCACCTAGTAATTACTTAGCTATGAGCGACACCATAGTATGAAGGTCAACAATATTAATCGGTTACCTAAACAGAAGCTAAGCAAGGTTCGAATCAGGGACTTAGTGGTCGAAATTCGAACATCCTAACGATTAAGCCACAGTTCCAAACACAAAATACAAATTTTCTTGTATTATGTAAACAGAATATTTGAAAAAGTGTATATTTATTACAATAAAATTTTAGATTGTTCGCTCAACATTTACATATATTTTATCATTGTATTTCGTGGCTTCACTAAAAGGGGTTAGTAACTATTTGTTTATGACCTTGATATACCCACTAGTTCATTCATCAGATAAATGTTCAGAAGTTTTGTCAGAACTAGTTGACATCCTTGATATGCTAGGCTAATTATTATTATATTGAACATAATATGCATAATTTCATTTCCGCAAATTTCACTTTGTGGACAAAATTATTTTCTTCAATTTTATGATAATTCGTTCAGTTTAAACAAATAGTTTAAAAGAAGTTGGGCATCAAGCATATAGAGGACATTAGATGCAAAAGTTGTATTTGAATAATCTAGTATAGACTAAAACTTGCCATTAAGAGAATAAGGATAGTCATGATAATCATTACAACCGATTTAGAATTTATTGTACTGATTTTCCAAAAAGGTCGCTTTCATAGTTTGTCATTCCTTTTTTCTTCTTTTCACAGCAGCTTTAAGAGTAAATAAACACTTAAGATTTTGAAATCCGATCACTACGCATACAAGATGAAACCACGACATGAATTATCTCGATATTAGGGCGTGTTTTGTGCAAGCTTAGTCTCCACCTATCTCTATTTACCACGGAGATTAGCATATAAGGTTGAGAAATGACCAATTATGAATAAATACGTTGTCATAAACTGTTGTTCTAATCTGATAGTGCCAAGCATCACTTAAGCCTTTTAAAGCATAACTGAAAACCGCAACAGTTTGGAAAATTGTTACTCATTGGTGTATAATCACTTGATTTGCAATTACTTAGTTGCAAGTTCAGACTTCATCCCATCCAATTAGACTTGAATAATTGTTCAGTATTATTAGCGTTTATGCTTGTAATGTTAGATTTATACCAATAGCATAAATCCACAATTCGTAAATAAGTTGTTCTGAGCTCAATTAATAAATACAGCTTCGTACACTTTGTTTCAAGCCGTACTCTAAATATGAAGTCTCGTAATACTATCCGGTTATTGACCCCCAAATGCCCTGGTACGACCAAAGGTGGGTAGAGTCCACTCCCTATTTCGAAATCCTCTCGCGTATCCACGCGTATACAGTCCTACTCACTATCTTCTCGCGGCACTACTGTTGTTTACAAAATTGAGAGGACGAAAAGCGAATATTTGGTGCCTTAACCAGTTTGGTGGATAACGAGAGCCCACTTAGGGGAGTTGGAAAACCCTGATACCAAACCGATGGTGTACATGAGCTCCAGTATCCTGAAGGAACAATTGGCGTATGAACCAATCGTTGGTCACCGGCCACCATTTGACTGCATCTCCTGACGATGCTTCACTGTCTTATGAATCAGACCTTTAGGTTGAAGGTTTGGGGTGTGGCCCCCTAAGAAAACCTCCTGCTTCGATCTAAGCAACCGGGCAGTATCATAGCCCCTTTGTATCAATGTTTATTTGTTTAAATGAATAAAATCCGGTTATTCAAATCAAGGTAAGTGGAATCGATGATTGCACTTGCGAGTTAGTGGCAGGAAATCGATCACCGTAACCACTGAGCTACCGCTCAATGCTATTATTGCCGTTATTATTATTACTATTATTATTATTATGCATTTCTTACGTACATAAGCATCAAATAATCGTGTTATCAATTCTTTAGCTTTCAGAGTTAGAAAAAATTGGTGAAGAGATTGTTTCAATCGAAGAAGAATTAGAAGCTATCAATAAAGGTATATCTTTATTGTTTTTTTTTATGCATTTCCTTTCATTTTCACATACGGTCTTTTCCAAGTACATATTATCCCATCGTGATTACGTCGTCCCTAAATATAATTAAAATAGTATTTTATCAAATACCATTTGTTTGAAATGTTCAAACATTTTGACTTGTTACATTGCATATTCAGCATGCGTAGATAGCGTCAAGTCGCTGTTCATGACAGCAAGCTTACCGAAGATAGAGATCGTAAAATTCGGCGGAAATCCTCTAAAGTTTTGAACGTTCATGAAGGGATTCAAGGCTAACATCGCCGACCGAGTAAACGATGACACTCAGCGAGTAATGTATTTGATACACCATTGTGAAGGTATAGTAAAAAATGCTATAGAACACTGTGTTTTACTACCAGAAGAAGAAGGTTACACTAAAGCAATTAGTATTCTACACAAGCAGTTTGGGAGACCACGTGATATCTTGGAAGCATTTTTAACAGAATTACTAGACGGATCATCATTAAGTCGTTTGTCGTTTGTAAGATTTGGTCCAGAGTGTATGCAATTATTCAGAGACATGCCTTGTAATTTAGCAGCACAGTCAAAGACTATTCGAACTTTACCTGGCTTTTTAGGGTTGAACACAGGTTGATGTGGAACAAAATACCTTTCTTCCTCGATAGTTTGAATCACTCGAGAAAAATATCCTTTACTTTCGTGAGTGGCTAATATATTAGCATACTGCTTACGAAGATGCTCTTCCTTCAAATGGTCTTTTACGTAGGTATATCAGTCGTTCTTCTATTTCACGTTTATTCTTTGGAAGTGAGTGCCAATCCACCTTCCAGGGTATCGGCACTCGATAGTGTCCGTCAAACAATATTGTTTGTTTGTCGGTTATTTCCACGATGACCTTATCGCATAGTGACATAGCAATCTTGTCTGAGTACTTATTTTCGGAATATTCATGTTCGAACATTCTGAGGATGTCGTCCTCGATGGAACCCTTTGCTTCTAATCAGTTTATGAAGACTGAGGTTGTACTAGCTTGACCTGTTGGCCCAAATAGTGCCCATCCTAGCATGGTTAGTGAAGCGTGAGGTTGTTTGAGCTTCCCAATGCGCTGGTCGAGAACCCAATGGGTTTCTGGAACGTCGACTCCAAGTAACAAACCTACTCTGTCGCAGGCTATAGTAGGTAGCCGTACACCTTTCAAATGTTTCCATCTTTCCTGGAAGTCGGTTGGTGGAATTTCTGCTTTTTTAATAGGTAGGTTATCGACAGTGTATGCACCTTCAATCCTTATTCGGTTAGTTTTATCTAAAGATTCAATTTCGAAATTAGTAAGTTCAGCGGTCTGGGATGACACTCCGATTACAGAGGATATCTTTAATCGAGTCAGTGTACCTGAAATTCTCACCTACTTTGCTACATCATTAAGTAGTAGTGTCGTATCTGAGCCGTTATCTAACAAGGCATATGTATTCACGTGTCCTGTGGGGCCATGTAACCTGACAGTTACAAATCCCAAATACATCCCAGTAGAGTGAATAGAGTTGCAGCGTGCTTGTTTAGTATCAGGCTCTGTGTTGTGAAGAATTTTATGATGGCGTCGTTTACATCCATCGACGTCACACAACATGGGTTGCCGACAGTCTGTTGCTCGATGATTGGGCTTTAAGCAATTAAAGCACAGCTTAAACTTCTTCAGCATTTCTAGCCTTTCGTTGTGACTTACTGCTAGCAACTGCGGACAAGATGCGACTTCGTGGGCATCAGAGCAGATTAGACAATGCACTTTTCCTTTACTCGACAAGGCATGGACCTTAGCTCTAATGGAGACCGATTGGTTGTTCGATGTCGTCTGAGCTTTGTAGCTCCCACTTGCTAATTGTCCATAAGTTTTGTGAAGATTGTTTCAAGTTGAACATTGATATTAAGTTTATTTAGGTTTTCTGTGTTTTTCTCATTAACTTTTCAGTGTTTTGTTCTATGTTACTTGATAATATTCAGTAAATAGTTTATTCCTAACAATTTCTACGCGTATGTTTTGTCGTTTAGCATTCTGAAATACTTTCATATACTTCAAACGTTTACTGTATTTATCATTATAATTACTTTCTATCAAGAAGGTACTAGTATTATTAAAGATTCTATCTATTATATACCGCATCTTTATGATATTACAATTTTTTATCCTCAGAGTTTTCACCTAAAGAAGCTAATCCATCACAACTTGACGAGTTAGAGGCCTATATGAATGCACTTAAAACAAGTCAGTTGTTTTATAAATAGACTAACAAACTACACTTTTTTGGTAACTTTTTAATTTCTTCTTATATCTATTAGGGAATTTTTTGGTTATATAAACTCCGTAAAGTAATTGGTAATGAATTATGTATAAATCAATAAATCACTGATTTTTAAGTCTCGTGGTGAACACCAACACTGAAATCCAGATACATCCAGTCGACATATCCTAAATAGGATGAAATACGCATCTTGAATTCTACTGGTAACTACTATCCAACTTTAGTGGAAGCTTGTGACTAGATTGTAGTATCGTGACAACTCACTCAAGATGAACATAAGCCAACAAAGACTGATCTATGACTGCGTACATAGTTGTTTTTTCAATGACCATTATTATTGTTCGGACCAGAAACAGTATTTTAGCTATATTCACCGGTGTTTATCACTTTCTTGCAATTTCAAATGCGAACGATTCTATAGACTTTTTATTTCTCACGAGTGGAAAAGAAGTCATTTATCTAGTTCGAGATGTTATTTGTTATGTAGGGTGGTGTTTGGTAGTCAACAAAAAACTCGCCAGGGAACATCAGTTCCCTCAAGACTACAGGTAAAAATGTTTCTTATCTATTACCTTCAACCACCTACTTACATCTCAACATTTTGTACGCTATGTCGAGTCACTTAAACTAGTAGCCGCACTACAACTTGATAGAATTTGATCAGCATTAAGGACTTGATAAAAGTGACATTGGTCACTACTTGAAAATCAATGAATTTTAAAAAAAGTGTTATTTTGTTACTTACATTACTAAAACAGCAACACAATAGCTTGTTTGAAATAAAAAAATTTAACTGAATAGTGAAACACTTCCGTTTTTCCGCTGGTCTATAGACTCATCTAAATGTGCACAACGTTCTAAATTAAAAGCACGTCTAATTTCATTACGTCAAACTGAACTGCAACTTTTTCATCGTGCTGGACTTTCAAGAGTAGGCAAAACTGTGAAACAACTTAGCAATAAACAAAATAACAATTCTGAATATATTTCATCATCCGATGCTGCAGCCGCCGTTCGAGCAGCTCGACAAAAATTAAATAATGATGCTGGTGAACAACAAAGTGAAAATGATCAACTAAATGCTGTTACATCTGAGCAAAAGTAAGTTTTTACAATTTCTGTTATGATAATTATGATATTTCGTTTAAGCAAAACCATTTACAACGATTGACACTAATAAGGGCAACCATCAAAAAGGGATAATATTAACAAAAGTGAGCATCGAACAGGGGAATAAAATTTTTAAAAATTTGGATCAGTTCGCTGTCTGTCTGTCTCTACAATGTATCTATTCCCTTACTGTTGAATATTAAATTAATCTGATATTCATAGCCTACTTGTATTATGCGATTGATCTATGTCTGTATTAGTGAATATGAATTTTCATTTGACAACACGAATTGCTCGAAACTTTGTCAAACATTTCTGGAATAGACTAAATTATGGCGCTATTTTGCTATATGAATATTCTTTAATATAATACCCTATTTGTTCTACTAATATACATAATATTCCGGTAACAATCAAATGCGACCAGAGTTACCTAAACAGGTGTGTTATTTAAGTCAGACTCTCCAAGGTTTTTATTTCATAAATGATAATTAACTTTGGGGCAGTGCTGACTCTCAATCGATGTCATTTCAATAAAAGTATCAAAAAGACATTCGTTTATTGACCTCAATTCCTACTCAAAATAGAAGTATAGGATAAAATACTTGGACTAATAAAAATAATAAATTGTTACCTAATTCGAAAAATTACAGTACTTGTTGAAAGTAGATTCTTTATTGAACGTTTAAACAATTGCATTTTTGACTATTCTTCAACATAAACAGACAGAAGGTGAACTGACCCACTTTTCAAATTTTGAAAACTTTTATTTCCCTTTTCCGTCGTCTCCATTATTACTATGGACTTTTAGATAGTTGTCGTGACTAATCCTTGCGCTTATTCATGTGTGGCTGTTTGAATGGACACCATTTACAACAGCAGGTGTAACATGTTATTTATAATAGATGAATTATGATTAGCAGTGGAGAATCCATGACTTTCTGCCGACGGTTATTTACATTATCATGTGTTGTAATTATTCTTTACGTTATTTTCATAGGAAGCTTTCATTTTTACAAACAAACCTGTGTTATAAGTAACAGATACTTCACAAGTTGAGATTTGTAACCGATTCGTATAAATATATTGTAACAATGGAACCGTTTTCTCTAGATAAATCGCTACTTTTGATTTGAACTTCATGTGATTGAACAGTTTTATACAATTTATGTACATTGTTGACTTTCAGAGGCTGCCTTGCAGTCATGAAAGAGAAGGAACATTGGGAGACAAGAAGTACACTCGCTTTTCTATAGATATTCCAATAGCTCTCATCTATCACGTAGGGCATAGATTGACAAACACTCGATGTATTTTCTATATCCGCCTACCTTATGTTGCAATAAACTCCCCCTTCATTGCTCTATAAGAATTATTCTCTTTGTAACTGACGCTCATACATTTATTCTACCGAATTAATTATTCAATCTTTTATGCTAAATCGATCAACAATTTCGTCATATTCTCGTTGAAAAAAAACCCTGGGATAAAGTATGTTTCATTGTCTTATTGTTTAGGTTATTTCAGTGTGTCACTAAAGTAACATCATAGTCTTATTGTAGTTCTTTTCTTGTTTTATATCGATTTACAATCTTAGAATTAAAAATATTCGAGCTGATAGAAATGCATTAAAAAGAAGTCTACAAAATCATGCCAGAGTAAGTATTTAAAGTGTATATTAAGTTATTTTAGCAAAAATTATTAACTTAATTTTAAGATATCTGAAATGATCCATTTACATTGAAATAATTGTAACGCATCCATTATGAACACAGTTTTGAAACAAACTTTTAGTGTGCTTGTATATGGAAATCCATGAAAGTTTCGGTGAATCGATTTCTTAAAATATATTTAGAAAACATCAGTATGACGAGGGAAAAAAAACCGCGAAATTGATTTAGAGGAAATATATGTAAAGGCTTTATGGTAGTAATTCCATCAGTTATAAGTAACGCAAAAAATCCGGCACATATGTATCAGTACACGTTGCCACAGCTCATTAGCACATCTGGATGAAATTATCAAGATAAATGTCAGATTAGTAGAAGTGGTAACAATATAAATGATATTAGAAACAATTAGGTGTAGACAATATAATTCAAGAAAAAATGATGTATTTTCTGGATAGAAAGTGTAAAATAATTTCCAGACATATCTTATAGAAGATAACGAATTAACTTGTCGAAACCATGTCACCCACTGTTTCTAACCATCGTACAACGCCTAACCAAATAGTCTGCATCTGTTAATATGGTTCACTTCAACAGTTTCACGTCTTAGATTAAGCGCATCTATTTCTCCACTAGCAAACATTGTACGTCGAAGTAGGCAGCGGTTAGTCATAAGTAACACATGATATTCAACATTTTACAAACAAATAGTAGGTAATGTAATTTAGTGAACTCGAATAGTTTTTTTCAATCCCTGACATATTTCTCATCATTTATGACTTAGTTAATTGTTCTAGGTAACCAAAGAATTCACTGGAATCCGTTCATCTATGACGTTATTTTATACCACAAATCAAACTTATTTAAACTAAGTATTCCAAATGTTTCAATATTTACGCATACTGCCCTTAACAAACTTTGTTAATAAAAACATCGTCTGTGCATTGAAAATCGATTAGAAGATAATTAGACATCAAGTCAATATATTAAAAGACTAAATTAAGAAATTGCTTTCGAAGACTCGTCTTCATCAGTTCAGTAACATCGGGACCATAAAATTCTTAGATTAACATTAATAGATGTTGTTAAAACGAATCCATTGAAGATAGTTTATGTATCTATCTTTTATTATGATTTAACGATACGGAAGCCCCCCTAAATCGAATTTGAAGTCCTTCGTAAATCCTTGTACGCGTCAGTCAATCAGATTGATAAATAACTTTTAAAATGCAAGGGAGAAGATTTCTTACTCAGGTGACTATTTTTAATGATATTACACTTTCTAACCTAAATAGTTTATAATTGCAAATATTTCTTTATCCTTATAAAACACTATCATCTATTTGAGGTAGGCACTTGATAAGGACATTCAGAATAACAATCAAAATGCTCCGCGACTAAAATACACTAGTTCCAGTTTGCATTTGTTATTATCACGCTTAATGATTGAAACTTTGGTGTTTAAAGCTAAAGCTTACTGAATCCAAATTTTGATGTAAATATCACCAGTAATGAGATGCAAATAAATCCAGCTGACTAGTCTTAGATAGGACAAAATGCACCCTTGATCAATGCCACTGCTAGTTTAATCTCTATTGAATTCAAATCATAAAGCGTCTCAAGATTTTTGAATAAGTGATTATTTTGAAGTTATGTTCCACCTAAATCATACAATTTAGCTACAAATCTACACCAGTTACTATTTCACTTCATATTATTCTTTATGCATTTTTTCTAGACACTTTATGTATCTCAGAAGAAAATTGAAATAGATAGACCATTTGAAGTGGAAAATGATGACGATGGTGACACCAATGTAAATGATATTGGTGACAAAGAAGAAACAAAACAAATGGAGATGAGTGTAGACAATGAAGAGAATAACGTTGATACCGCTATTTCTGTTCCTCAATACAAATCGAGCAAATATCCAGATTCTAGTTGTCAATCAACGTTTCCCCTTATTTCTACTACTGCTACCATGAATATTGTAAATAATAATGACAATCTTATTGACGATTCCAGTACAACTATAAGTAATGAACAAGGTGTGGAAGAAAACTCAACTGAAATTAAATTATGTAAGTTTTAAACGATTTACGAATTGACTCTTTTTTCGTGTATAGCCGATTGGATTGATATTTATCTACTAGCAAAGAGATAAGTAACAATGAACAGTATACATGAATATCGAATATGATTGCTTGCTACTGATCTACCTTCCAGCAACTTATATCTTACTCTGTAGTAATCACATAAAGACAGATAATAAATGTTGATATATAATTATTCTAATTTCCACATTATTAATACTTTCATATCGTGTCCGAGGTCAGTGTAATAACCGTGATATTTGGTTAGAGACTGTAATTGATACACCTTAGAATCGATCAGAGTCGTACAGATGGATTCGTTCTTTATGTTCCTCTCGAAGGTAAACTACAATATACCCTCATAACATTTCCTTTCTGGAACTATTCCAATTTTTACTCCTTCTCATCGTCACTGCCTTTACATATTGATTACCTTACTATTTGTTAAACACGTTTTGTTGATTTGTTATGCTAACACTGGGTGATGTAAGTTTGTGCCAAGCCCTACATTGATTATGACTGCCTAACTGACCACCATGTTTACTTATGGTGCATAAATTTAACCTGATGTATTAATATTGGAAATAAGACATTATTATTCATTATTTTAACAGAGATATGACGACAGTTATCACTTTTCGGTTGCCCACTTATTGAGATACCTGAAAAAGGAAAACTGGTGGAACTATAATTTATGGAAGACCTTCAAGGGATGCTTAAGTAGCTTGGGGGCAGTTCACCTGCCTACTAGGGTCAAAAGAGGGTTATAAATAAGTATGAGGAATTACAATTAAGAATTAGCGTTAGAACTTAAGGTTAGAAATGAAAGTAAGGGTTTTCACCACGAACTAATATCAGCTATAATGTCAAGATGCTATTTAGCTATATGAATGAATGAATTTCTCCCCAAAATCCAAGACCTGAAGTCTGATTGGCTTGTCCAGTGCAGAAGACGCTGGACCTTGGGATATAGGAAAAACAGCAAACGTAATATGGAAATGTAAATTTAAAAAAATGTAATCAAGTTTTTCGTTACAAGAAAGAAATTAGTATTGTTGACAAGAGTTAGACAATTTAATGTCACTCTAGAAACACATATTCGTGTTAGGTCTCAGATTGGACATAATTAATAAAAGCAAATGTAACTTAATTGAAATATTTGCTCAAAACAATAATTTACGCACATTTAATTTATGGCATAAAGTGATACTACTTATTTGGTGAATTCTAATAAAAACCACAACTTTACTACTAGTAAACTATGCCTTTAATTACATTGTCCTTTCATGTATTCAGATGTCGATAAAAATCAACAACCTTCCAAGGTGTTGGGACCAACTTTGCCTCCGTCTCAATCTCAAAAACCTCTTGTAAGTGATCTCTTTCATGTACTTACTATTGTCATAATTAATTCGTTTTCTTTACAAACTGTATTCCACCGTAGTGTAAGACTCTTCTTCACAGTTTGAACTTGCGATTATTTCAATGATCTTCACTACGCGGTATCTTAAGTGAATCATATATTTAACATTCACATCATACTCACTTCAACAATACTTTAAAATGAAGCTGAAATGTATGTATTCTTTCTTGAAACTCATAGAATAATTCATATAAATGGACAATACCGTTTTCAATGAGATCTTTATTAGATTTTACTCTAATATACAATTATTATTTATATGATGCATATATGAAAAATATTAAGCCAAGTGGAGTAATTCACTACTACTTCACCATGTATAATGGATTTTATTGTAACTTATTCACCAGGTTATTTTAATTGGTGACTGAAATGCGCACGAAATTCAAGTTCAAAAATAACAATTTGTCTAGAGAAAACGGTTCCATTGTTACAATAATATTCATATAAATTGGTTATAAATCTCAACTTGTGAAATATGTTACTTATAACATATAGGTATCTTTGGAAAAAAGAAAGCTTCCTATGAAAATAACGTAAAGAATAATTACAACATATAATAATGTAAATGACAGACGGTACCTGTCTAAAGTCAATGCTGATTAACTACAATCAAAGATAAGGAGTACAAAAATATGAAATCTCTTGAATTTCAACAAAGATACAAGATACGTGCGTAAACTGGAAGTACTTGTTACAGTTGTCGAGAGAATATAATGATAATAAATAAAATGAATATTACTATACTGAAGAATATTACAGGACACCAACCATACATTACATACCATATGATCCAAGTTTATTAGAAATGAAACTAGTCATTGAATATTAATAAGTAGCATAAAGCAATACACAAGAAATTAAGTTGGATAAGGGAAGAACAAGGGTTGTAAACGAACTGAACACAATGAATTAAATAAGCATTGAATTGAATATTGTTCGTTTGTACGTGTAATTCTAATTTACAACACAACAGTGTTGTTGCCTTCTCGTGGCGAGGGTGTTGTTTACGAAAATGAGAGGACGAAAAGCGAATGTCTGGCGCTTTAACTGGGTTGGTGGACATGGAAAGTCCACCTAAGGGAGTTGGAAAACCCTGATTCCAAACCAGCATGGGCTCCAGTATCCTGAAGGAACAAGTGGCGTATGAACCAATCGTTGGTCACCGGCTACCATGGGACTGCATCTCCTTACGATGCTCCACTGCCTTGTGGGTCGAAGGCTCCGGGTGTGGCCACATAAGAAAACCACCTGCTTCGGTTTGGGCACCCGGGTAGTATCACAGCCCTCACACATATCAAATGAGATTTGTGTGGCGCATATGTATTTGGTGCCTCCTTGTACCAATATCTATGTGTTAAAATAAATAAATAACAGGTGCCATACAAATATTGCTCGCATCTGCTGGGATCACTGGGTAAGTCATAGAGAGGTTAGACGCAAGGTATTAGGGAATGATGGTAAGTCAGTCTACGAGGTTGTAAATCTTCATCGACTGGAGATAGTTGGGCCACGTGTATGTATGCCTGAACACCGATTATCACGATGCGAATGGTAACTAGTTTTGGAGACGGTTGGAAGAATGTTAGGGGCGGTCAAACCAAACGTGGTATCAATCCTTGAAGCCACTAACTTCTGTTCTGAGCCATGATGGTAGGTTCGGACTACTTGGTTGGGGTCCACGTGACTATCGTAACCAATGGTTGGAGACTGTGTGTGACGTGGCTCAGAATCGATCATAATGACGTAGGTGTATACACTTTTTTTCCCTTAAATCGTGAGATTAAAATTGCATTATACGAACTAATCCTTTTCATTCTCCCTGTATTATATCCTTGTATGCAATTTTTCCTTTATATAATACTACTATTGAAGTAACTAGTTCTATGAATTTGGTGTTCATCTTGTTATGCTAATGAGGTGTGGCAACTTGGATCGATGCATATAAGTGCCTGGTCTTACGTTGTGACTGAGTAACACTGAAGTAAAATAAATAAAGGTAGAAAAACGTTATTTGTCTATTAATTAAAGGGACTAATAAAAGTGGCGTCGTTAACCATACTTAGCAAATTTTTTAATAATCACTTTTATTATCATTTTGATCACAAAACAATTATAGTACAGGATTGAAAATCAATTCGCCGAAAGAAGAGGAAACTGTTGTCATTGAATCAAATCTTTTTTATTTTACAATTATCTTAGGGTTAGTTTTCAATTACAGTTGATATTCGTCGTGTTCACTGTTTTTACTATACCATGTGATTTAGTAATTCAAGCTGACACACATATTTACAACAACCATTAAAATAAATTTGACTGATTGGCAGAATTCATTCAACTGAATTTGAGATAAATCGGATCAAATTTATATGAAGTTACAAGTTAAGTGGAGGAATGGTAATTTTTTTCGAAACATAAAACTTTTAGTTATTCTCTAAATATTACATTGTTTCTATTTTATTTGTATAATCAGGAGGTCAATAAGAGGACAAAAAATTATCCAGAAAATGATTCTGACGATTATGTGGAATGGTTTCCTCCATCAGGTCAGTAAATATTCATATTTAATTACCATCATTATACATATATACTGTTGATTTAACCAATTAAATTTAATGGGATATACCCTACTCCCAGTCAAACTGTTGATATTTGTATCATTTAAGACAAAGGTTTCTAGTTGGTACATGCCCTAGTTTATCGAATAGATTCAAAAATATATTGTTAGTTTAATTATCACACAGTAAATAAAACTAATAATCAAACGTTAAATATTCTGTCCTTGCAAGTAGCGTGTGAAACGAGGCATGGAATTCAGATCCGGCAAAACCAATAAAAACTGAACACAGTGTGCTCAGAACCCTTCCCACTAGATGTAATGATCCATGCCTTCCAAATCAGCAAAAAAATGGTTGGGAAACCAAAAATTTTAAGAGCACGACTGAAACAACCCACATCTTAAAGTACAACATCGTCGAAAAACGTTAACGAAGCTATAGGTCACCAGTGAATATCACTGTTTCCGTTGTGTAAACGAGTCTTCGATGTAGGTATAGCTTCTACATTTTTGTCATAATTTGTCGTTTGAATGCTTATTGTCTCGGCTCTTTTAATGCTACTTTTTGTATCTGGTCGTCGCTGATTGTTATGTCGGAAATGCTTATCAATCATACTCGGAACGAGGAACCTATGCAATTCTCACGACGCGAAAGTAAAAACACAAAGACTGGTATAGGTGATGATTTATCAACCCCAAAACACGACCATGACGACTCTAGTCGAAAAACACATTCATTTATATATTGATTGTGCACCCATTTTGATTAATAATTAGAATGAAACCACATATATAACCAATCACATACTGAGGATAGTTCATGTCGATGGAATACAAGAATATCGTACCTCATAAAATAAACCTAATACTACATTGAGTAATCATCACATTGAATTAAAACGGAAGTAATGTTGAATAAAACTCACATTGAGTAAATCAATCGAAAATTGACTTTCCTTTCCATCATATCAATTCCCCGTTCGATACTAGACACATTACAAACGAATCTGTATAATTTATTCCTTCTAGGTTAATCATTTATTCCTAACAAAAATAGAGATGTTTTTTTAGTTTTATAAACTTAGTATATGGTTTAAAAAGAATATATTTGTAAAATCTCAGCGAATGAGATGTCTCAAATTAACTCGGCGCCCAAATATTGTGAAACTATTCGTTCAAATTTAGACGAAAGTTCTTATTTATTAGTATATGGTTGTTGACAAAAGAATAACTTCCATATAAGTTTAAACAAAGTCCACTTTTCAGTTGTTAAGTATTTATTTTTTTACTATCATTTCATTTGGATTTTTCAGACCAAAGTGGAGATGGTATCACTTCTCTTAATGCTAAATATGGATATTAAATGCATGAGGACAATACAATTTAGATTTCTTGAAATTAATTATGGCTTGTGAACTACAAATTAACTCTTTGTAAATGTATGTACATACAATCCTTCCCTGTTTTTATGATTAAACTTTTGAACACAATAATGATTGTTTTTATTTTGTATTTTACATCAGTAAATGAGAAATACAATATAGTATTAAACATCTAAACGAATTATTCTCTACAAAATTATATTACTTTGTTGTCGATTAATATTTTGGGAAACATCATACTCAAAAGATATCCGAAGATGTTTGACAGACAACAGGGAAAAACTGCTTTAAGTACGGTTTTATTATAATTGAAAGGTAAATGTACGGTACTGGGATATCTTCCTTTAAGGGAAAACAAAATACTTATGCATGTGGGTTGCAGATAAACATGTGAGCATGAGCTATCTAATATGCGTATATAAAAAGTAACATGAATTATAGCGTGAATATGTGGTTAAAGAATTAACACGTATGAATAATATAAGATAGGAATAAACATGTTAAATTATACTGCATTGGTGAATGCTACTGTTTATTGTATTGCCGTTTGTAAAAGGTAGCAAGTCAGTATAGTACTTGTCATCGGTATCATGAACAAATGCATCGAGTTCCTGTTAAGTATACTGCCTCAGGATGAGGCTTATTACAAGATCATGTGTATGACTTTCTGTCAAACATTGCAGATAGCCCGTTACACTTAGCGTATTGGGTATCAGGATCTAGTTATTAATTTATGCTATCGTCTAAGCAGATATTCCGTCGATGATAGACTACATTGTGGTTTTTGAATATTCACACCCCATTAACACAAAATCAGATTCTTTTCCATGCAACTGTGATAGGCCTTGCTTAATAATTGAAAGAACCGTGAAATGACTTAATATCACTTAATAATCAGTACTTTAACGATTCAAGTGAAGAAAATGCTACTAGTGTGGTGCATGTTATTCATGTCTGCCGGCGTAAGTAGTATGTAACGCCAGTCGGAAGTGGAAAACCTGGCAGAAGGCTAAGAAGGTTGAGTTGAAGGAAATAGATTGGAAAATAGAACGGAACTGTGAATTTAAATAATCATGCAGAATGTGAAGGACAAATGGTGGAAATTTGCAAATGATGTATTCAATTTATGGCTCTGTAATTTTGTATTAAACAAGTCGGTTGTTACCGAGTTCTCATTCACAACACTAGAGGTAACATGCTCATGAATAACTTATCAGTCGTTGTTAGTAAATTAGACATTGATTGTAATCTAAGGAAGCCGCAACTATTAAATCTCATTGTTAGAAAAATGGTATTAACTGCTCATATTATTGGTGCTCCTGAGGTCGTAACAATATTAGACATTTCATATGTGAAACAGTTGTGATTAATTGTATTGGATGATCTTCGTGTTATATCGTAAATTGATTAAACTTGAACCTGTACCAGAGACTTGAAGGTTCTGGGTTTGATTACTGATTAAGGAGATGAGCGCACACTACCGAGGGCCCTCGTACTAAAACGAAACAATTGTCCAGTTCTTCCTGGTTTTTGATGATAGCTCAAAAGGGATCAATATCTGTGAGGAATACAACCTAAAATTTATTAATTCTCACCAAAATAATCAGACAACTCAATTTCCAGGCATAAGATAAAATCTGGAAATAAAAGGACTTTCTATTAATAATTAATTTTCTGTTATAAAATATACATTTTTGAGAAAAAAGATATACATTAATATTTAAGGTAAACAACTATCCTCAACAATTTCAGTTCTTGGATAATAAACTTTGAAAGTATACTTCTTCTGGAGGTCTGACAATTCATTGGAATATTCCATATGACCAAATCGACCTGGATTAATAAAACGACAATTACCAGTGGTCACTAATCCTGGTTGTGAAGCATTTAAATTGGCCAATGGTTCCGGTTCAATAGCGACAACTAAATTAGGTAATGGATTTAAACTTAAAGCTTGGTCATAATACCAATAGACAGGTGCTATATGACCTAAAAGTGGTAAGAGATGTGCTTGACTAGCTAAACAACGTGCAAGGCATTGACCTAAATATTCCGTTGTTGTTTTATGCTTCTTTGAAGTAGTATCTTGTTTTATTGATGAAGCACTACTACTAGTGGTAGCAACTGCCTCACTATCCATATCAACCGCCGTCTGAAATGTAAAAAGAAGTGGCAATGTGTAATATGCATTCACGAAACGATATTCTATGGGAAAAAGTAGCATATAGAAAAGATAATGACAGATTTAATTCTTTGACACCGGTCGGCTTTCTTGAACGTTTTTTTTTTACAAAGCTTCATAAATAGACAAGTAAATCTTCCATGTGATCATGAATATAGAATGACAGTGAAAGACAACTTGAGACATCAATAATGTGAACACTGTATAAATCTGTAATTGAACAGTAGTCAGCCACATACAAAAAGTATTGAAAAATTCATTTGACAATAATCACTTAAACTCGTAGTTATTAGTTGCTATTTACTCGTAACTTCTTATTGAATGAAATTCTGCTAAAACCACTAAAAGTGTATTTTGTATACATATAACAATAGAATAATTCTTACCTCAGAATTTTCTCTTGAAATAGAACTTTCAATCTTTTCACTTGTTTCAACATACGAATCCAAATTGTTTAATGTAGGTAGATGAATACAGTGTCTAACTAATAGACGACTATAGTTAACACGGAAAATAACAATTTCACGAGTGTACAAACGCAGTCGACATGGATTTGATGCTAAATGTAGCCACGGTGGACAACTGGATGAAGAACGATCTTTATTATCAGAAATTAAATCAATGCCTAAACTAGGTCGTGGTAAAATATGCTTCGGAGCATAAACAGGATCTTCAGGACCAGGAATCAGTATCAATTTTGGTGACTGGTTGGATTGAGAGGTGTGTTGAGACTCTGAATCTGGAAAGTTATTCTTGAAAATTGTGATTAACTGTCGTAATAATCTTCGTAGAATTAACCTCTAATTGAAAATAGAATTATCAGTACTATATTTTCGTTTTATGGATCCTTTAAAATTTAACAAACAAAAATTCAGTATACGGTGTCAAAATAGATGCACATACATTTTTAAGACAGAAAGACTGTAATCAATACAAATCTATAATCAAGGTGTAAGAAAACCCCGTAGAATGAATGGTTAAAAATTATTACATTTATGACACCAACAGATATTAGCCCAGTGAAATAATTTTTTATTGTTAGGGACACTCAGATGTGCAATCGAAGTATCTGTTTTATAACAAAATTTTCAAATAAAAAGCAAATTAGCTGGCTGTAACAAACTTTCTGGAATACAACTTAAATTATTCTTAATGAGTATTTGAATAATCCTGAATAACAGCAGGAGGACAATTCAAGCCCTTATTAATAGTAAACATAAGCATCATATACATCGAGTAATTTAGCGTTTATCTGGACAAAGTTGCTAAGTGAATTACGTTTTGGTGTTTACAGCTAAATATACTACGTTCAAGTTCAAGTGTGAACATCAACATTCGGATGTCCGTACATATAATCGGAATTATAAATAGGATGAAACGCGTGTATTGTATGCCACTGTAAATCACCATCCAAAAATTGGAACAGTTTTTAGAAAACAACACATTCAACCAGTACTTCATATACTCAAAAATTATGCTGTATAAAATCAACTATTATTTATGACTGAATATTCTGGAGGCACTCCAGCATGAAACAGCGGTCCGATGTTTTCTAATTTTCAATGATGGTTTAGCTAGGATTAGTATGTGTTGTAAACTATAGAAAAAGCCACCAGTTGAACAGAATTAAACCAATGAAACGTGATAAACTTCAAGTCATTTTTAAAACATTATTAAGAATTCTATACACTTCTTTTTTTACCGTTAGGGGTATAATTTAAGGGGTCTTCTTGTTGTGGATTTCCTATATCCAGTAAGATGCAAGCAAACGCGTGCTCGAACTATAATGCGGATCAATCTGAACATGTACCCCAGAACGGTCGGTATTCTACTAAGCCTCTCCACCGGTTGCTAACAATATGGTCTATCATTGACGTTCTGACGTTTCCATGTCAGATCTCTCTCCTTATGCTTAAAGTTGTTGCTTGCCAGGAATAAAATTGTCTGAGCTACGAAACCGGAAGACAAAATTAAAAACCTTTCGTTTTGGTTTAGACTATAACCATTTGAAGTTGGTCTAGATAAATTTATTTCGCTCTGATATGGAGGCATTCATTCAAATCATAATGAATGATAATAAAAGGTTACGAATCCATACAATTGAGATTTTACAAATTTATCTACATAGAAAATAGCCCATTACTTACACGTTCGGTGCACGTCTTTCCGATGGAATCAGCACTTAGAAAATTACCACTTAATATAAACGCAACTGGAGCGCACGATGAATAACCACTGAAAAGAGTAGTCAACTGGTCTAAAGTATCTGGTTTGTCCAGATGAGTTTCTCCCAAAATTACAAGCATAGCATCTGAACCAGCCTAAAAGATAGAATCAATAATATAGCGGATAACAGTATTTTTTTTGGAATAATCATATTATTTTAATTAGGAAACAAAAATCTGTTTAAATGAATAACATGAACCGGGGAATGACTAATTTATTGACTGAATATGAAACCTAAATATTACAGCATTATATCAGTTACATTTAAGCCATTCTGGGGAGGTTTTTTTAAGACATTCATTTTCTTAATGTGATAATTTTTTGGTGAAAATCGATAACTTTAACACATTTCATTATGAAAACAATGACTTTTATCGCCTATTCCAATTAGTATCGATAAATTAGTTGACAAATGAAAGGTTAGTATTTATATTATAAAAATCATGAAGTGTATAATATCCTTCCAATCCAAGATTGTTTCCTTTCCCGACCACATTGACTTAGATGTGAGATATCATGATGACCCAATCAAGAAATATTGGATGGAACAGTTATTCCTTTAGGTCCTAACTA